CTGGGCTGCCAGCCCAAGACAACAGCGATACACTGGGGGCTGGGGAGGACCACCGAGCCACCACGGCCTGGGGCTCCTCGCAGGGCTGCTGGGGCTGTGAGGCTCTCCTGTCGGAGCCAAATGTATAAACGTAGGACTGAAGCCCCACCCTTACAGGCTTTGCCTCTGAATTCCTCTCTGAACATGTTTCTACTGTGCATTTGGTGTAATTTTTCAGTACGGGATGAACTAACAACTGAATTTGGCGTATAATAAAATTCACCCTTAGTTTTAGTGTCCGAGTTTACCAGAAGCAAAAGAAATCCCCTGGGTACCCTTTCTACAGAGTGTTGCATGGTTTGATGGGAACACAATAGACCACTGCACCCCTCCCCAAGCTGGAGAAAGAAGACATTTTGTTTACATACTATGGCACTAATCATTCTTATCCAGCTGAACTGAGTTGAGCTAATGAACTACTAATTAACCACTCAACTCAAGGTACCTATCCTGCCCACAAGAGGCAGGCCATTTCCTCCTGGCTGTGGAGGATGCAACAGCGTCCCTGGTGCCGCAGCCCAGGCTGGTGAGCAACAACATATGACCCCGACGTGATACATCGATGAGACCCTGGAAAGCCCTGGGAAGCCCTGACTCCCTCGCCGAGCCGAGAGCCCTGGCTGCAAAGGAGCCCGAGCCAAAAGAGCCGGAGCCAGAGCCGGAGCCGGGAGCTCGAGCGAGAGTCCTTTGGAGAAGAAGGTAAAGCTGCAAGCCCCGACGTGGTATTCGCGGAAGGGAAGCGTGCTGGAGTTGGATGAATGGGCCGGGTCTCTGCTCACCTTAAAGCCTTTGTGAAAACAAAAAATACTAAAACAAAAAGGGGGAATTATGGCACTAATCATTCTTATCCAGCTGGACTGAGTTGAGCTAATGAACTACTAATTAACCACTCAACTCAAGGTACCTATCCTGCCCACAAGAGGCAGGCCATTTCCTCCTGGCTGTGGAGGATGCAACAGCGTCCCTGGTGCCGCAGCCCAGGCTGGTGAGCAACAACATACTAGGCAAGAAGCACACTCAGAAATACAGGAATTAAAAAAATTATAGATGATTTTTAACACTACCATGGAACTACATGAACCAAACAATACGCTTCTCATGTTTTTACATTCTACATGAGGAAATGTCAACTTAAAGTCATAACCACTTAAAAACGGTAATTGTATCTCTAAAACCATAAATCGGTTTCAGTTGCTGTCAGCGGCTGTCCTCAGGATCAGAGGGTCTCTCATCAGTATGTTTAACAACGTGTGACTTTGCCTGTCTGTCTCCTGACTCCAAGGGAAGATAAAGGTAACGAAGCACTTGTCCATGGTGCCCTTCCAGACAACCCAACGCTTTCGCTACCACTCCGAGTGTGCGCTCTTCACTACCAGCCACCGGCGCGTGCTCGAACACGCGCTCCCTTTTGTGGCCTGGAATTTTAAATAGCCTATTTTTAAAATGCCGTGTACCACCAGAACTACGGGAACTCTCCTACGCATGTGACGCGATGCCTAAACACAGGCAACAAAACAAAAGCTGTGTGAAAGATTCCTAACTTAAGCTTCGTTTCAGGTGGTTTAAAACTGAGCCTGTACTCCCAGGATACTACCACGTATGTTCTCTCATTTTTCTCTTTCACGCATAAATGCTTGTGATACCTGCAGACATATACATAAACATACACGGTCCATCTTTCAACCCGGCTCTTCTAATTTGTGTTATCGGACATCAGATGATGTTCTTTTACACCCACGCTTCATCAGGAAGCCTAATAGATATTCAAGACTTAATTTGTTGGAATAGTGCATACTAAGCCGTTAAATTACCTGATCTAAAACGATGAAGATTAGGAAATAATCAGATTTGAAAATCTGATCGCAGCACGATTTATGCAGGGAAAAAAAAAAAAATCGGCCCTCTGTGCTAAGGCAGGAAAAGGTATGAGAGAATTTGTGAAAGAAGTATTTTTCTCTTGCTAAATGAGAATACACAGTTTAAGTTCCTTTTATGTTCAACAGCTATATCAAAACAGTAATCATGCATTCATTTCTGAAACTATCTTTGTTCCCATATCCACCATAAACAAATCATGCAATAAGAACAAAATTTGCTCTGTGACTTACCTTTATTCTTTTGCAGAATGCTGCATTAGAGAAACAGAAGCAAGAAAAAACGTTGATCACCTTGCCATTAAAACACACAGTTCAGTTCTAAAAAGTTCTGCCCATGCAGGATTACTGGCTGCATCTTCCTACAACATTTGCCTCCTGTTGAAACGTTGCAGGCGTACTCGACAATGCCATTCAGTTATCACTCTGTTTGGAGGCTGGGACAGGTAATAAACAGCAACTACTAAGATATTCACCTCAGACCTTTATCCCTTACTGCTTGGAGAAATTTAAATCTGTTGTTTCCTAACATCTGGACACTCGCATATGACACAATACAGATGGTATTCTGTAAATAATTCTTAAGTTTTGTTTTGTTTTGTTTTTAAGATTAAATCCATTTCATATAACTGTAAGCAAAGCATCAACAACAGATTTTTGACATTAAAACTTCATTACATTAGTTGATAAATACGGCCAGTGGAGCACTGCCAACCTTTCTCTTCATCCACAAAATAGATCAGAATCCTCTTTATTCCACCACAGTGGCATTGGTGCTGACGCATTACCGGTATAGGCAGAGGATACTCTGGGACACAGTGAGATGTGAATTTGTAGCAAGCCAACAGCTTCATAGTACTGACCAGGCTTAAGCTTTTACCTCAAAGGTAATGGAAGCAGTCACAGGGAATGATTTTACTGAGCATATGCCATTTTCATATCACCCTTTTTGGAAAAAAGATTATGAATATCCTCAGATTTCTGTTAACTTCTTAAGTGCAATGCTGAAACGGGTATACAAGGTCAGTGATTAAGATCCTTTGAAGTAACTGACGATGAGACACTGCTGTTGGAATTCAGTTGCTCACCCCAGCAAGTCCAGATCTCTCTGGGAGGCTCAAGAATATACAAGCACATATCTGAAGTGATGGTGTGTTCACTTGAGATTAATATTAAACAGTTGAATTTCTCTCTTTAAAAAAGTCTGTCTCAAGCTTTCACAGGCTGTGCAGCCAACAGAGTGGTGCATATTTTCCTGTGATGGGCATCAGATCTCCAGGTCTAGTCAGTCATAACCTTGGGTACCAATTCAATCTCAAGTGGCAGCTCTACAAATGGCATTACAATGCTGTTTTAGAGGTATACCACAGAGGAGGCTGCTTTGCAGCCTGATACCTCTGAGAACTTGTAACACCAGATACGCAACAGGCTTTTTGATTACATAACTTAAGCCACACAGCTAAGATCTCTTCTTCTTTAAGCCAGTTCATATATATATATATCAAGTATTATTTAGATAATTTACAAAACAGCCTCTTTCATGTCACAGCAAAACAAAATTCTTTATAGTTTTAAAGGCTTAAAATCTTTCTTCTTGATTTTTTTTTTAAAGGTTATATCTGGTCTGAATTGAAAGAAAATTATGACTAAGCACTTGGAAATTCATTGAAGACAAGATGGTCTTGGGGGAAAATGTGGAAGGAAGCTGTCAACAGAAAAACTCAAGTTTTTGATCTCCCAACTGATTCAGTCAGTTGCAGACACCTTTAAGGATAGGTAGTGAAAAGAGCCATCGGCTGGATAGTCACAACAGATATCCATCAGCGTAGTTGCTTCACATTCAAATGGAGTAGCTAGAAACTGTTTGCGAAGAACAAAGAAAAACTACTTGTATCAGAACGTAATATGGTCTCACTGTCAAGTGACCAAACTTACAGAAAAAGAGAGATAAAAATCCTGATTTTTGTGTCAACACTGTTTTAAAACCAATCTGGACGCCAAGTTCAGAGCCAAATGCACTGACAGACCATGGTCTTTTCCTCAGATAGGCACCCTGAATGCCAGCTATACTCAGTACACCTTAGAGGGCAGAGGAACTCTGAATGTTCCTTTGCTTTGCAGCTGAGCTTTTCCACAGTCACCAATAACATGAAGAGATCACAGCACTGTCCAGTTCCCCTTCGTTCACCTGGCTGCACAATGCAGCAATGTCACAGTGCTAATACACATGCAAGATGGCTCAAAGTCCTCCCTCGTGGTGCCCACACCATCCCTCCCCAGGACAGCTAAGATTTGTAAGCAGACCTAGTTTGGGCTATCTAGGTGGACAACCCCACAGACCTGGGGTTCAGGACTTTTTAAGGTTTCACAACAGCTGAAGTACATAAGTACATAAGTACAGCACACACTTGGCTGGTAAGCACGCACTCAAAGATGGCCAAATCAGATGCTATGTCAGAAAAAGACATCAGTGCGCTACTCAAGAACCTAAAACGGATTATCAGTCTTTTGAGAAACACTGGTATCTTATTATTTTAATCAACTAAGTGCATACCAGCTTCACTTCCACACAAAAAAAAAAAAAAAAAAAAAATAGTCTAAAGTCAAAATGTTTAGTTCTTGTCCCACACAAAGTTCCAAAGCTGCATGGAGCCCGAGGCCCAGAGACACACTGCTTGTCCAGCTGCCCAAGGCACTGTATGGCTTCAAAATCACAGCTGCTTGAGCCAAGTAAGGACATAGAATCATATAACCACAGAATGGTTTGGGTTGGAAGGGACCTTTGAAGATCATCCAGTCCAACTCTCCTGTCATGTGCAGGGACATCTTCCATTAGGTGAGGTTGTTCAAAGCCCTGTCCAACCTGACAGGGATGGGGCATCTACAACTTCTCTGGGCAACCTGCTCCAGTGCCTCACCATCCTCACTGTAAAAAATTTCTTTATTATATGTATATAGATGTAAGATAGACTATGCCTACACCCCTTCCCTGGCAGCTGCGATGCCCCGAGAAGAAATTTAATACACTCTCATTCAGAGCTCTAGGAGCTTCTAGTTCACCTTGCTTTAATACGCCACTGCACAAAACAATACTGGGAGCTCAGAAGGGAAGTGAGACTAACCTCTCCAAATTTTCTTTTCTCTTTCATTAAAATAGTAAATAGGGACTTACGATATGCTCCCACAAAGACGCTATGCAAAAAAGGGAATAGCCCTTGAAGTTCCGGCAATTTATTTTTAAGTTGTCCATGTAGTTATCTTTCTATCTAATGTTGCTATCTCATATAGATAGCACTTTAAATAATTTCCAAAATTTCATCCCATAATGGCCTCTGTAGCCTTAATGTTTGAAGTTTTACATTTTGAACTTCAGTCCACTGTTTCAGTATGGAACTTTTAAGGAAAAATCTGACTTAAGTTAAAAAACCACCATTTTATGAACATGAACACTCATAATAATTATAGTACCTCTTCTCAAAGTATGATTTTGTGTAGAGTACTAAGTGAAATCAGCATTGCAGCATTTTAGATTTATCAATGTTATATGATTTTGGTATTAAGTGTACTAATTTTACTAGTAAGGAGACGTATTTCCCTCATTTCTAGGTCTCAGAAAGCTTATAAGAATATAAACAGCTCAGGCAAAAATGGTCAAAGTTCTGGATGTTTAGATAAAGTTTTAGGCAGCTAACCTTTTAGACAACCAAGCTTAGAAACAGACAGTAAAAATTTATCCATGTATCAGAAGAAAAATTTTAGCACAAGTTATCTAACTGTCAGTGCATGGCACTGAGTGCTGCTCAATACTTCTTGCATTTATTTTGAGAACATATGGCTGACCTATGGGTGATCTTAGAAAGGTCTTTCAACTTCAGTGTAAAGATTTACCAAGGGGGGAGAAATCCTCATACCCCTTTGCAATCCCTTTGAACAATCAAATAACCTCACACTAAGCCGAGCTGTTAACAAAGCCGACACTTCTAAACACAGTATTTTTGTGAACCAGAAAAGCACTACATGGCTAAGGCAGAAGTAAAGAACTCAATCACTGATTCATTGAAGTTAGCAGATGGGACTCAATATCCACAAATCAGTTGAATCAGTAGGTGTCATTTTTGCACTGTCACTTACTTAGAGTATAACTGTACTTTAATCACACTCTAAATTCTTCCTGCCAAAAAAAATGGTGTATTCCTATTATGCACACAACTAGATGACAGCATTTAAGAATTGTTCAAAGAGAAATATAAAGAGCACACCTAAATTACACCGTAGATACCTCAAGCAGCTCTGAAGAAGAATTACAAGAATTATTATTTCTAGGTAATGTCAACACTTTTCTTAAGGATGACACGTGCAGTTAAAACGTGAAAGAAACCTCACAAATCCCTTCCCCTCCCTAGGAGACTGAAGCTCTATGGCTGCCACCAGTCCAGCCTTGCTTTTGAAGAGTGAGGGATGGAGGTGGAGGGGAGGACAAGGCTACTGCAATGTTCATAGAAGGTAAGTCTTACAATATCTTGTTGCTTCAACTGTCTCTGACCTCATCAGTTAGCGAGCCAGCACAAAACAACAAAAAACAAACCAGTGTTACACCAGGGTCTGTTCAACGTAACTGGATAATGGTGGATATTCCTTTTCATGCCAGTGATCACACAGAGATACCAACTCAAGCACAAGCTCCCAGACGAACAGAGGAGGGTGGCTACTCTCCCAGAGGCTCCTAAGGGCTTTGCTGCCAACTGGCGCTCTCCCCAGGCGAGCTCCGACAGCTCCCAGCGGGAAATACAGCTCCCTATGGGAAACCGCAGCATTTCCACACTAGGATCTTTTTTGTTCAACAGGTAACAAAGCTCTTAGGGAAGGCTGTGGGGAGACTTGGTTCCTGTACGTTTTGCATGCCCACAGCAATCAATTTTACTCCTCCACGGAAGCAGATCCAGCAGAGACTGAGTAACTGACGTGCAGATGGCAGCAAGACAAGGCTGTTGTGATACGGTGCTGGACGCGATGCAGCAGCGTGGGAACGCAGCTTAGCTAGATCTGCAGAGCAGTTGAGTTACCAGCAAAAGTACTTACTTACCTGCTTGGGTAATCGGGAAGGTTTTTTTTATATATCTCTGCCTGGCAGAAAGGTGCAGTCTTGTCTTCCTAGTAAGACATGCAGCAGATATCTGCTGATTTTCCAGAGGAAGCAGGTATTTGCTGCATCATCTCTGCCTTCATCCCTTCCAAATGAGGTTACAGTAATGTGATACACACGGAGCTATAGTTTGTATTTATTTGTAAGCTGCAAATAGCATAAAAAGTTGCCGACTCTTAAAAAAGGAGAAGACGATTCTGATATTAAACCAATAAAAATTGCTTGTGAACCCATGCTTGTCTAAAGTGACCTCCAGATTAAAAATTAACATGTTGGCTTCGACATACAGAGTCCTGTAGATTTGGGAGCACATAGCACCAGCTCTCTCTCCTATCATCAGAGTATCATAATTTTCATCAGATAAAATGTGCAAATACATGTTTCAAAGCACGCTCTTTCTGTTTTCAAGTTGACAACTGAAAACTAAAACCAAACCACTTTGGTGCTCTCTTTCTTTTGCTATGTAACGTTTCAAGAACTAAAAAGTCATCCTTTTCTGCCTTTAACACTCCCAAAATGTCACTTGGAAGGTGTAACTCATGGCAACATTACCTGTTTTCCTATCCTCTCAAAGAACTCCTTCATAAACAGCATCCCATAGAATAAAGATCCTGATAGAAACCACATTTTAAAGTCTACCAATTCTAACTGAATTCTACCAAAATCCCAAACTGATTTTGATATAAAAATACCTTCAGGCTGAGTTAGTAGGAGAGCTCAGAGAACCGCGAGGAGGCTCCTTCTCAGCAGCCACGTACCATTCCAAAGAAGCCGGGTCTGTCCTCAGGTACGTGAAGCTCTGGGTACACATTCTCCAAGAACCATTTGAAGTCCTTACATTTCAGCTTCTCTCGAAGGACTCTCCTTTCTGTCACATCTCCATATGGTTCCTGAAAAAAAAAGAAAAAGAAAAAAAAAAAGAAAAAGAAAGATTAAAAAAAACTCAACCACAGGGGGTTAATCTAATCTTTTAAATTATCAGTATACATTATTAGGAACCATATGCTAAAGTGATGAGGAGGACTTTTAGCCAGGAAAAAATCCCCATGTTTTGGTGCTGGATTTGATTTCATTATCCTTACATTTGTTAAATGTTGACAAAATATAATTGTAACAGTGCCCGTAAAACTTTGAAATATTCTAGAAGACAGTTCGTCTGAGAAAACTCCCCAAATCCATAGTAAGGAAGTCCTTGAATACAGGTTGCTGGGAACTGAGAAGGCGTATTGGAAAATAAAACTTCCTTTAGCTAGATAATTGAAAATCTCAAGAGTAGTGAATGAATCTTGAGAATTTTAAATTATTCCACCATCCATTTACAAATTACCTGTACAGACAGTTTTACACTTAACTGATGACATTTGTAAAATCTGCTAATGTTTCCTTTGAACTTCATCGTTTCAGGGGTGGGGAGCACGAAATCTTAAACCTCCAGAGAAAAGCTTTCATTGCAGACTTCTCCCTGTCTACAGATTGGAGCAGAGTTCACATCTTTTCATGTCTGCCTTCAAAAATCTATCTTTATATTGACTAGGGACTTCAGACAGTCAGGCATGAGATACCATTTTGCAGCCCCCAGATTTTTACAGGTCACTTGACACACACTTTCATCAAACCACAAATATATTTGCATTTCTCAAAGCTGTGGAAATATCACTGAAAACAGAAAGCAGAGGTAAAACAGAGGCAGAGATGCCTGCTTGAATAAACAAACAGCATGACATATCAGCTCTGAGGTCTAAACATTAATCTTGAAGTGAAACTTTATGGAACCAAACTCTGTAGCCATAGCATCAATCATTTTTCCATTATGCTACGGAACTGAATATTTAACTTAGATGAAGTAAAAAGGTCTGAACTCAATCACTGCAACGAGCGGTGCACAGAGTATTAGGGAAACCAGAGTGCATTGATAGCTTTGGTATGTGCAAAAAACGGTGGCAGCTTTGATACGTGCAAAAAACCGCATGGATCTCAGCTGACACACTCTGTTACGATAAGCCAATATGCAAAACTTCCAATAATGACACGCAAATATCCTTTAAAGTTAAAGTTCTGTCAACACAGACATCAGCTGCCCAGAACTTTCCAAGAAAAATTGTCAGCATTTATTGCTGTTTTCTCTTTTCCCATGACAAGCAGCGTCAGCCTGGCACTGTCTGCGAGCGCCCGTCTTCGGATACTCAAACCCCATACTTCTCTCAAAGTCAGACTCTGATAATAAAACCTAAATGGCTTTTATGATGTTAAACAATTATTACAAATGCGTGGACTACAATAATTTAATTACCCAGTTTAATCCACGGGAACACGAGGTGGAAGCTCACCAAATTCAGCTTCCCCAGTGTCCTCCGGTGTGTCTTTTAAAAGCGTAATGGTTTCAAGAGCATTTTTCCCCCGACATGTCTATTGGGATAGGCCACTCAAACATGTGGGGACCTCGCTGTCCCCCTGCCTGGTGCCTAAGCTCTGGTCCAGCATAGCCAGAGGCAGGTGCCCAGCAGCCCACTGCAGGGCAGCTCTCCCCATGCACAAAACCAGAAAGCCAGCACTCAGAAAACTTTCTGTGCAAAGAGAAGGGCCTGGCAAGATTAAGCGCCTCCAGAAACAAGCGACAGCAGAGAGTCATTTCTTTTAGGCTTGAATTTTGGACTTTGTGCCAGAGGTTCACATAAGTCATTTCTAGACATTGTGAGGATATTTCAGGTTATCATCTTCCAGTCTGCAGCCCTCTCATAATAAATATATCGAAGCCATGAATTTGCACACTGCTTTACTGTTCTGACCTACACAATTATCACGGTACTTATCTCCTGAAAAGTTTTGCAAACAAATGATCTTGTATTTTCTTTCTTTCACAGAAAATAAAAATATTAACTTTTTTTAAAAAAAAAAACAAAACCAAAAAACACAGAACTGATACTTCAAACATTTAATTAGGAACATTTTCATCTGAGTTCCCAGGACTGATTTTAATTAATCTTTGCAATATTGATTTTGTTTAATTTTTTCTTTTCTTTTTTTTTTTTTTAATCTAGCATTGTGCAGCAGTAAATCAAACAGAAAAATCCATTTTGTCTTACATCAGTCGAAAGTTTTACAATTATCACAAGACAGGTAATTTTGCTAAAGATTATTACCACGCTGTTCATTTAAAGATCTACTGTCCATTAAACCTTGTTGATTAGCATTCGTTAATTGTGTGTCTCTTCTGTAATTCTTTATTGATAGAATGCTGTATCAGCTGTTTCATAGAAGTGCACATTTTAGGCTAAACAGCTCTTCCTTACTTAGTTCACCTTGCTTAACTTTATTCTTTCATTTATTCATTCATTTATTTAATATTGACACAATGTGGCCTTCTTCGAGCCTAGGAATTAAAAATTAACTATATATACATTTATGCTGTGTTTGGGAAAAGTTTTCAGAAGAAATAGGAAATAAACATACAAAAAATATTTCATGTTAAATATTAGCTAAATTAACAGTTATTTCATTGAAAACAAATTCTATTGAAATTCCAACACCAATGGACTAGAACTCACCAGGCGAGCGTGTGGGTTTCGGTGGTAATAAAGCTCTTTATATTCATCCATCCACACTTCAGCTGCACGCACACTATTTGCCAAAGCTTTGGACCGTGAGTACGGAGCTTGTTTAGGGAAAACGTGACCTACGTGTGAGCAAGGGTGGATCTCAAGACTTCCTCCACACTGCCATATCTGAACAAAGAATTGACATTGTGCATCATTAATTCGAATCTTTGCAAGCAGAAGGATACAATAACAATAAGTCTTTGCAAGGATAATACCTTCTCAAGAACACCGCAGCATACTATAAGCAACACATACAATAATTGTGTCCCATTTGATGAGATATTGAATGACATCCTTGTGAACTCCGAGCAAATCACTGGGAGTAACAAGGAGGTAACCCCATCTCTGGTTTTATGTGGTGTGCAATCATCTCTTTTTTAGCTTTACTTTCTCTGAAGGCATGATAAGAAATACTCCACAATATTTCTGCAGGTCTAACTGTGGTCTACAATTCAAGTTATATAATTACTAATAATTATTATTAATAAAAGACCCATGTTTCTAGTCCAAATTAGCCATACGAATAGCCTCCTCAAAGAAATCAATGATTAATTTCTTACCAGAAACTCACTCTTGCATTCTGCAGGAAAGCTGAGTTGACAAATCATGTAAGCTTGTCATAATATTGGAGAAGAGTAAGTTGTGTTTCCATTTCTATATTCACCATTTCAGAGGAGAGGTACGGGTGCCTGGTCATAAAATACAACTAACCTTTTTCATTGAAAAGCTGGGAAAAGAACCCGAGACCCAACACATGAAAAGAAAACGGAAAGTAATTCTGTAACTGACCCATGGAGGTCCAGCCAAAATGAGTGAAACAACCTCTCCTGTCTAAACCAGTATTCCTGCTTGCTGTCAAGGAAAGTACTTGAACCTGAAAATGGAATTGGCAGAACTCACTCTGCCTTCATCCTCATGCCTCCGGCTCCCCAAGCCAGGAAACACATGGCCCTGCAGATAAAGCCCATAAATGACCACCAAGTAAGGACACTAGTCTCAGAACTCTGTGCAAATTTTTGTAGTTACCCTCACCTCCTTTGAAAACCATGGACTTTCGGCAGCTCACCCACACAGCCGCTGACCTCAAGTTTGATGTGATGTAATGAAAGGAAAGCATGGCTAGATATTTTCCATTTAATACTATGCACAATGTGGCAGACAACCTGTTTCTGACAGGTGCCTGAAAGAAGGTTTCTGGAATTGTCAGATGGGAGGAAAGGCAGGACACAAAGCTACACTTGAACAGACTCAAGGCTATCACCAATGGCTCTGACAGACGTCCCGTAGAAGTCTTTTGAGAACTGGCACTCCAGTGAGCTAATTCGCCTCCTGTATTCAGCTGTGCATAGGTGGCACCTCACCTTTCCTTTGTAAATGGATCACAAGGGAAATTAGCCGAGGTATGTTTAAGAGGCAGAGAGGTTTGCTCCCTGACAACCTTCTTGTATAACAAATACAATTTTAATTACACGCTATTCAAATGAACACAGCAGGAGTAAAAGCTATGAGGCAGCAAATAAAACTTCTGTACTTGACAATGGATCAGGTCAGACTTTTTCTGTCTCTCTTCCTGGCACTTTTGGGTATCCCAGAAAGTCACCACAGATGAAGGCTTTCAGCATACACAAGATGGATGTTGTCTTCAGACTGTTTTTGGGGGGTTCTAGGGGGTGTGGTTTGGTTTGGGGTTTGTTTTTTTGTTTAAGTTATTTAGGATTTCTCTCAAATGTCTTAATTTAGAAATTAATGAATGTTATCTCAGTTGATTTGGTTTTGGGTAACGATGTCAGACCTTTACATGTGGCACAATACAGTGCTTAATAACAAAATTGTAAGCACTCTAATACATATGTTTACTTTTAAAACAAAAGGTTTCCTTAAACGTATAGGTAATTCATTATTCAACTATAAGGAGCCCTAGATAATATTTACTTCCTGAATTTAAAATTTTAATTTCTTGCTTTTCAAGAGAGGCTTCTCTCTTCTATTTTGTTGCTTTTTGGTGAAGCAATATCTTTGTAATTTGAACAGAAGATGATGAAAGGAATTATACAAGAAATCTAGAATTCTGTACTGATCTTTTCAACAATTTGCATACTTTTGCAGGTTCAGTTGCACTACTGCCAGTTTGAAAGGTGCTATAAAACCAGCTATCCACTTTCACTTTAAGATCTGCCTTTTTAAGATTTGTTTCAAAATAATAGCTTTCTAACATTATTATTTCTATATTCAAGATTACTTTTTTAATGTCGAAATTTATCACACAAGATCTGTTTGTCAGTAAGTATTAAGCACCATTAAATTTATTAAAGTTTAACAATTTTCATATTTGTTATATTCCATATAAACGTTTTTAAATTGATCATTACTGGTTTGATCAGTCTGTTTTCAAATGAGATGAGGAACAGACCATAAAGACTACTGAAGTAAAAATGTGCAGTTAAAGAAGGAAGCACGTTCCTCTATTCTTCTGTGACAAGGTCTGATTCAAATGCAGTAAAACAGACTGACCATGCCTCTTTTAAATTGCTGCCAAAAAGAATTCCACAACAGCTGGTTTTCAATAATTAAAATTCTGAACTCTAAGAAATAACAGTAGGTTGCTAAGCAATGCTCATTAAATTCTGCTTCTTTCATTAAAACAATTCAAAACTTCTCTTACCCTCTTATTACAAACAAAAATTAAACATATTTCAGCTAAACTATTCCTCAAAAGGTTTATTTATTTTTATTTTAATAGAGGACATTTTGACCTCGACATAAAATCAGGTACAAGTGAACAGCCATGTAATAAAGCAAGGAATGCTAAATAAGTGACTCTGGTAAAGATTCTCTCCTACAACTATTTCAGCTTTCTGTAACAGAGAAGCACATTAGATTTCACGTATATTTTGCATTCTCACATACATGAAAATATGTTTCTTTACCAGGTCTAGCTAAATCCAGCTATCATTATAAAAGCGTACTTTTCTCCTTCACCACAAAAAGAAAACAAGGTGACATTCCTTTTACTTTCACTTTCATCTTGATGCATGCAGACTATTGATATTTTTTCTTTTTCTTTTCAGAGACAGAGGGTGGCATTATGAAAAGCTACAGTAAATGTTCATATCTTGCCTTGCGATCCCTGTCCCTGCCAGGGTCTCCGGACAACTGACCTAATGGTGGGTCAATGAACACTGAACAAGAAAAGCTCTACCACCTCCATTCTAATATTTTAGGACTCTCTGGAAGAAATAAGAAATAAAAAATAAAAAAAGGACGCTATCTCCTGAATAAAGACAAACTGCAGAAAATATTCCGTTCCTGCCCCTCTCTCTGCTGCAATTTTGCTGCAATTTTGCTTGCTGGCTTGTGGCTGAGCCCCCTGTGCAGTGCTCATGCATGATCTGCAGAGAGCTGGGTGGGTGGAGAGGCCTCCGCAGCTGCATATGAACCCATCCTGGACTGCTCCTGCTGCAAGACAGATTTCCAGACCCAGACAGAAAGAAATAATACAAAAAGATTAGAAAAGAGGAGACTCCAAGCTATATCATCCAGGCTCCTTGGCAATGAAATTTCCAACAGAAGAAAGGACTTATCAGTAAACAGTTTTGTCTTTCTGCACGTGTTTATTTCTCTCATGCCATGATGGTGGGTTGAAGGACAGACTGCAGGTCTATCAAGTGGCGGTCCCCAGAAACAAACTTACACTGCAGTGCCACTAGCCAGGACCAAGAGTAGAGAGGGGGAAAAATGCTACAACCAGGTTCCTCTCGCTCCATGTACAGGAGGAGGAAGATGAAAGGGCATGTTTTACATCCCTCAGAAAGAGGAATTCCAGTGCCCATTATGCCCATGAAGTGAAATTTTATCCAGCCAAATAGCATTAGGCAATTCAAAATCAAGGCACATTGACTCAATCCTGCATTCAGCACACAGCCTCCATCTCTCTTAGTCATCATGCTTTTAGCCGAAGCTTTGTCCTTGTTGCACCTCTCAAAACCACAGAGAATTTTTTCAGTTTAGAATAATCAAAGTATGAGAAAGAGGAGGCTTGAGGACAAGTCCTTTCATGTCATCGGGAGAGGGTGGTGTTTTCAGAGACGAGAAGAACAATGAATTTATTTACAGTGGTTTTCAGTATCCCTGCTCCTAATTTTCAGGTCTGGCAGGTCTAGAAACCACGGAGACAACGGAATTAACACTGATTTATCCCTCTTGACCTTCTTCAGCATTGAGGGCAGCCAGAATAATGCAGTTAAGCAACATCACAGTGCTTTTCTCTCTCCCACAAAAAACCTCGCCGTTGGAAGCACGAGTACAGGGGCTTGAAATCAAACAGAGGAAAGCGCATCGTGCACAATTTGCATCCAAACGCCCAGATCCTACTGGCAATCCGCACTAGTAAAATTAACACACCCAGGCATATTCGCTGGCCCTCGCACAGTTCATCCTGCAAAACTGTTCGCCCCCCTCCAAAGAGAGCCGCCCGATCCACCGGCAGAACCCAGGGAGCCCCACACCAGAGCTCCCCCTCTGCTCCCTCGGTCAAGGGCCTCTGTTACCTGCCCTGAGCCACATCCCTGCTCTTGGCCCACGAGAAGACCATTTTTCTCCATACTGAAGGAGCAGAGGCACTGCTCTTTTATGTTGCTGCACCCCGTGGGGTCAAACACCTGGTTCTAGGGAACTGGTAACATCAGAAATGAGACCTGCTGCTGGAGCCTGGTAGAGGTCAACAGCAACGCCAGCTTGGATCTAAAGCAGCCACCAGCGCAGGGGCACTCCATGCTGTACAGGGCAGGGGTCAGGCTCGTCCTGTCTGCAAGCCTTGGTCTCTCAAAAAGCACGGCATGAAGAGTGGAGAGTCAAGAATTGCATGCAAGAGGGCTCTCTTCGAGGTAGAAAGCTCCTTGTAGAAAGCTCCCACAATCCATTTCAGAGGAGAAAACTGCTGCCATCTAGGACAGTGCTACTCCTAACTCCTACTGGTTAGGGGCAACCATTCTGGTGCCACCAAATCTGTGGCAGTCAGGGTCACAGTAGACTGCCAACATTTCAAACAAGATGAAGCAGATCACGTATCGTCCAGTTCTGTCAACTGTGGCTGGTGTTTCCAAGCTTGCTGCTTTGGGAGAGGTGCAAATTTCTGTTGAGAGGCCAAGTATATAACACTAGTTTCAAAAGCAGCATTCTCTCCACCTCACAGGTGCTCCGTCTGGTTGCCCATGCACTAGCAGCTACAAACAAGTGCCTACAAGAGCCAGTCTTGCTCAGGAGATGCACATATCCAATATGCTCACTACTGTTATGTTGCATGTTTGTGGGAGATAGTGCTGTGCTCTCTGATGTAGCTTGCTGCTAAGCGTACCATCTCCTATCTCTGATTATCTGTCTGCTACAATAGTGTCACAGGTAAGAAAGCAAGCCTCAGGTCAGCAAGCATCTGTACCCCAAAATGCATGACTCCTCCATTGCCATCACCCCTTCCAATCCCTCAGTAAGCAAGAAAAACAATTTTCCCTTGCCAGAGTTAGCTAGAGATGGCATCCACCACTAGGCTGCTTTCCAGCTTAATCTGCCTTGGGTTGTGGCTGATGATGAACACAACCACTTCTTTGGGCCCCCAAGTATGAACTCAACTATGGCTACTTGTGGCTCCCTGAGCAGCCTCTCAAAAGCCTCATAAAAATAATTTCACCAAGAGCTATTTCATAGCTCCTGACCCTATTATGAAGCAATTATCCCACAGAAAGGAAATAACTTCCAGTGGAAAGAGCAGATCACTGCAACATATATATCAACATGGGCTACCCCAGAACTGGAGCTGGCTGGGGGACTCTTGCTTCAGAAGCTCAGAGACCTGATGGACGCAGGTAAGCTGCTTTGAGCTTCAGGCAGAGACCTGCTGAATTTACTGACCGAGACAAGTAGGCTATGTTTTGGACTTAACACACCAGAGAAACTTTTCCCGGAGTGAGAAAGGAGGTCGTCGCGAATTCGGATCAAACAGTGATCCCAGCTGAGAAATCTATCCCCAGAAAGAAACCATGTTAACTGCAGGTCTGTGCTTATTATCCTCTTTAATCCTTTTATTTCCTTATTTTTGTGCCCTCTTTGCTGGGATTTCTGCACTACAGGCAGCAGGAGACAGGAACAGCAGCCAGGAAGACTTCATGCTTCTCTGGTTAACAGGCAGACATCTCCTGAGAGACAGTCTGGTGATGCTTCCTTTCTAAAAAGTGGGTTTGTAGCATCAAAATACTATTTACAATCATAGAATGGTTTGCGTTGGAAGAGACCTTTAAAGATCATCTAGTTTCAACCCCCCTGCCATTGTCAGGGACACCTTTCACTACATCAGGTTGCTCAAAGTCCCACCCAACCTGACCTTGAACATTCCTTAATCCCTGAAATCTGCCATCACCTGGTAAAAAACAAAACCAAACCACCAACCCTCTCCTCCCCCAATCCAGTGGTACACAGAAATGCAAATATGACCATAAAACATACCTGAAGATGAGCAGAAAAAGCAAAGGGAATTCAGAATACTAAGTTGTGAACTCCCTGCAAGCCAAAAAGGGCCCTGCAGTGTACCTCTCACACCATCAGCTAAGGGTGATACGAGGCAAACCACAGGCAGGTAGTGCTCCGTGGGAATCAGCAGCAGCATAGCTAACAGCAGACTTGAGGAGGACAGGACTGTTTTGCTGGTCAGTCTGGACTGTCTCCTATCTTCTCTCTCTTCCCCTGCCATAAATGCTCTTCATTCCAGGATAGCTATCTATCTGCTTCACACCTGAGTCCACCCTCTGGTGGGGTACAGCTCTACAGTGCCAGGAGATTTTCCCCATCACCTTGTATAACCTTTATACAAACTTTTCCTGAAGCGAAAGAAAATAAAGCCTTCAAGAAGTAGAGGGGCTGGCTTGTCCTGCCCCTCTGGTGACTACCACCAGCTGACTCCCGCTCACTCCATCAATGGAAGTGAGAGCTCCAGAGCCACGCTGAAGCATTACAAATGTTTCTTTCCAATGATCCTCTTCAAGCCACAGAACGTAAACTTCATCCACAAATATCACACCACTACTTACATTTTATATTGCCATTCGAAACAAAAGACATATTTTTAATATTTTTTTTTAAATGGCTACTCTGAAGGAAAATATAACTATACTGAAGTGTGAGAACAAGGGAAAGATATTCATACAAACATCCCCCAAAATATTCTGTTTTTAACACTTGCGTACATTATAGCTATCTCATTAACTAAAAGCGCATGAAGAAAGAAACAAGAGACTTGGTTTTGTTCTCAGGAAAAAAAACCAACTACTTTCAATTGAGCCACTTACCCTAAACGAGAATTCAAGGTTTTCTCCTCCCCAGACTTCCATTCCTGTGTCATATGAACCAAGATAATCAAAATACTTCTTGCTCACAGAAAACAATCCACCTGCCATGGTTGGAGACCTAGAAAAGAGAATAGCAACTCTGAATTGAGTAAAAAGCAAAAAATATAAATTAATGAACCGCAGATCAAAAAGCAAAAAATATAAATTAATGAACCGCAGATCAAAAATACAACAACATATTCTCATTTTTCATTTTCTCAGTCTTTTCTGCATACAGACTGCATACAGTCAGCCTTTGATTGGTTAAGTAGTATATCATGAGGCTATTTAAATTTAATTTTGTAGTAAAAAATTGTATGAGAAATGAGCTCTAGAATGTATTAAAATAAAAATAACAATGAAATTAGAGAAGATAAACACTGTGCTAACACAAGTTTTTGCAATTATACTGTCTTTGTGAGTGGCCATAAATTACTAGCCTCTTATCTTCACATAGTAGAACATAAGCTCTTTTGTGGCAGAACTACTTTAGTCAGCTCTGAAATTCTAAGTGCAGTATCCTTATACATTTTACTTAAGTAGAAAGTAAACATGTTTGTGCCTTAGTAATTAATAACAACATTTCTGATCCCATTAATATCAAGTGGAAAAACTTTCAGACATCAACTGAGCAGAATTCAGTAAACAGAGCCCCCGAAAAGATTTTTTTCTATCTAAGATCTGTCCATCTGTATTTTTTTTAAATTTTTTGCTACATTTAGAAGAAAAAGCAGGGGCCAAGATTGGATCCTCACTGAAGACCACAAGGCCCAGAGTGACAGTGCACTTAGGGGATGTACTTTCAGTAGGGTAGCGTGTGCGTATATAAACTTGAATTTGGTCATTATTGTTCCTAATTGTCTACAGACTTAGAAAATGACCCTCTTTAAAGTGCCAAGCATATAATACTGGTTGGAACTAAATTCAGGAGATGTTTTATGAATTTTACTAAATTGCTGTTGAGGTAAATATTAACAAATGCTAGATGCAGTGATCAGTTACTCTTAATCTTTCAAAATTAATTTTACCAGCCATCTTTTTGAAGGAATACTGTCTTACACTGTCAAATGCTGTTTCGAAGAATGGAAAGAGATGAGGTGAGACAGAAGGAAAAAAAAACCAAACTCCATAGCCAGTCAAGCTCACAGTCCTCAGGCTACCATGAAACTTTATCCCTCATCATTTTCACCTTGGCATGCCAAAGACAATTCTTCCTGTCATGAAGAAGAAAAGCCTCCTATTTAAACTAAAGGCTTTAAAAACATTTATTCTGTTTTAAAATTTTTTTCCAGGAGGACGTGGACTAATATATGCTGACGAGGACTAAATTACTGCCTCACTTTTCCCATTTTTTTTTTTTAATGTTCTCTTCTCTCAGTTGAGGATCAGTTCATTAATATTTGTGAAGTACTAGGTATTATTACCAGGATAAGTGACATAGAAAAGACTGAGAAAATTCTGAGAGAGTTCTGTATTTGTTGTAGTCCATAAGACAACAGAACATAAATAAAGGCAAAGACTAACAAAATTGTGATGTTAAAAACACCAAACAACTGCTCTATTTCTTACAATACCCTACTGAAACACAGCAACTGCCAAATTGAGAAGACATCAATTATCAGGATTTTATCTACAGTGTCCATTTTCCAAATGCATTGTTGGTACTCTTACCTTACCTCTCCTAAAAAGACATTACGGAGTGACAGATAATACCAACTGATTGCAACTTGTCTTAAAACAAAACAAAACTAAAACCCACAGGGAAGACATCCACGTGAGCTCCTTTGAGTTAGCCCTTCACAGAAACTATGGTGGGTAGAGCTGTATCATTTCATCCCAATGAAGAGCTGGCAAACTAGTTCACCTTTGAAAACACAGCAAGGAACCACCACTATTGCTACGGCACAGATAAAGTCTTCAGAACTACTTTTGCCTTCTTACTGGTTGATGATTTTATTCTCTTTTTCATTGTTGACCACAATATATGGAGGACATCCTTTAGTATTAGTTAATCAGTTACAACCTTTCCGTGTGCTGATAAGCATCTGTGGGAGTTTGCCTGCAGGAGTCCAGAGACTGCTTGTGCAATAAGGATTCCACATGGAAGATTACACAGGCATTTCAGCTTTTAGATCAGCATTTTTTTAGGAGCATGGTGAGCAGGTGCTATTTTGGAAAAAAGGGGAACTAAACAAGATATGTAATTTTTAGTAATATGTTCATTTCTCAAATATTTTTTGACATCTGGCATTTCCAAGCGAAATAAAAACCACCTGTAACATTCCGTTTCATAAGATACATAAAAATTAACCTGATCACATCAGTCTTGGACTTCCGCCGTTTTTGTTCTCTTTCAGGGGTACTATGCCAAGTGAAGACCAGCCTCCAGTCAAATCCGCCAATCTGTGGCTCACCAGCATTTCCCAAGTACTCAAATGTATTCCAGTCAATAACATCAATAACAGGGCAGACGACAGCTGATTCTTCTTCCGCAATCCTAATATGATTTAAAAAAAAAAAAAAAAGAGGTGACTTCCATTAGAAACATCTCTCATAAACTACAACTGTCAAGAAGAGATAATGCTTACAAACACCAAATGCAAAGTTTTGCTCCTTTTCAACTCATGCTGCAACACAAGGAAAGGACAGTGACAAAAATAACCATCAATTTCTTGCTGAGGATGCATCAGGAGGACACACCAAGATGGACTCAGCTGTAGGCACCTGGCAAACATCAATCTTCCTGGATAGTGGAAACGAGGTATGCCAGATAGCTTGAGATAACATGGTCAGTATCTGGCCTGGCTGCCATAGCCAGCACCACATTCTCAGCAAAAACATTTGTTTTGCTCTGTACAGGTAGCTGCATTCAAGATACCTGGAAAGCAGCATGACTATCATTCTGCAAGGATGAATAAGGTAGCTAGGCTCTTGGTTCATGGCTGTTCTTGTAACTGCGATAATCTGCAAAAAGTTATACTGAGCACTACAACAGTAACTCAAAAAGAAGCCATGAGCTTAAACAACAAAAAAAAACCAACACAAACAAACAAAAAACCAAACATTCAACACAGGAATTAGATCTCCAATGGTGAAACAAAGATGAAGGAGGCCTCCAGAAACCTCGACAACATAGGAGATAAAAAGGAGAAATAAGATAGTACTGCAGAATGACACACCTACCAGCAAAGCTGATGTAAAGATAGTTAAGATCTTTATCGTACTAAGAATGTATCAGAGCTGACAACATTTCTTGCAGATCTACTTCTGCAAGGAGATAACTCCCTCCTACCATTTCTCAGTACCATGCAGGGTTTTCTGGATTCCTTTCCAAAAGCATAAAAGACTGTGGGATCCTTTGCCTTCATCTCTACTTCTGGAAAGGCCTCTCCACACCAGGAGAGATCAACTTAAAGCACACAGGCTCCAGCGAAGGCTCTTCTCCTGAATCACTCTTTAGCAATCTTCTCTACAGTTAGTTCAGTGAAAAACTGACTTCTTTAAGATCCTGGTACTTGTCTTAGTCCTGCATCTTCTGATCTGAGTATACCAGAGAAGAAATACTGAACACGTTATATTGCCAAACAAGGAAGAGATCTGATGTATCTGCCATTCAAGGGGAGCCAGTTCCTCATGAGACTATTAAACTTAAAACCCGCAGGCTGACCAAGGAGCACTGACTCTGAAATTAGAGCAGCTTGTGGTGGTTAAATGCACCAGAGAACAGAAGCAGTTTCAAACAAGTATTGTCTGAGCTTAGAAAGACTGTCTTAAATATGAAATAGTCCCTTGTTGCCAGAGGGAAGATGTGACACAGCTGTTTTCTTCTTTACGATCTCCCATTGAAATCCTGTTTGGTAGAGTGCACAAAAGGGCTTATACAAATAGTGCTATCTCCTGTCTCACTTGCTTAAAACCTACGTACAAAGCAATGAGAACGATATGTACACAGAGGAAAAAAAAAATCCCAATAAAATGTAAAAATGCTTTGTTGTTCCTGTGAAGGAAGAGGAGTAAAAATTAGGTATCTGGCACGTGATTTCAGCTATGAAAGGAATCACCACCTTTTCTGGAACTTAAGAATTAACTAGATAGTATAACACCCAGGCAGCTTATAAATACAACTATGTTTGCACTGCAAAACGCTAACACTGTTGCATTGCTCCCATACATTTGAGTCAGATACGCCATGCAAACAGCCCCTTAGAGATGTATGTCTGCATCAGCAGCAAGAAGGGCAAAAATTCCAAGACACATCCAGGGCTAACTTTTCACAGGTGGTGACTTATTACACTTAAAATTATCCCAATCCTTCCTCAAGATTGCCATCTAGTGGTTTGCTGAAGCAGTGAAGAAATTACAGAATCGCCTCCACAGTTACGAACTGTTTCTTCAGAGGACAGACATTAAAACCATGCTAATTCTTTGATTTTTTACCCCTTTTCCTTTCTTTACACTATCTATACTGTTTATAGTTAACCCACAGTTATCTGAAATACACTTGGTGTGAAATTTAGAAACAATTTAAATATGAAAACTTTAAGAAAACAAAAATAAAAATTATTTTAGATATAATTTCAAATGGACATGGAGAGTTTGAGAACACAAGTTCCACTAGGAATCAGGACACCTCAAGACAGCATGTGCTTTTGGAAATCTCTCTCCTGTTTTTTTCTGGTCCTTCTGTGAAGTCTACACTACATGCTAGGAATTTTTATAGGATGCAAATCAAACCACTGACCTTGAGGAAAGGATTTTTTTTTTTTTAATTATGCTTTAAAGAGAGCTGGTCTTCTATATACAATCTAGGAGGTCTGATTCAGGCACTGCATCTATCAGTATCTGCTAATGACATCTAAGCGGGTAAAGACGTAAGCTGTCAGCACAAGGGGCAAAAGCAACAAAGCCTCGTGCGTGCGACGCAGGAGCTGCAGGGTGCTGTGCCGAGGTGTACCAATGGCTGAACTGACATGTATGGCTGCTGACTACGTGTGGGTGAGGCTTCAAAAATATCATAAATATTCTAAGTTGTAAGAAAGATTTAGTATCCCGGTTTTCTAGTTTGTTTTTTTTTGTTGTTGGTTGGTTGGTTGATTGTTTTTTTTGGGGGTGGTGTTCTTTGTTTTTTAATTAATGGAAGTTTTCTGAACTGCCTGACAGATATGCAGTGTAGATGAAAAGCTATGTAGCTATACAGTACAGTGTCCCAGGACAGACAGTGTCCAAGTAAAAGTCAGTGTTGACGTAACATTAACTCCTCCCTATCCTACCCTCATGATGTTTTATATCAGAACCAGTTTGGAAAGATGGATTTGCTCAGGACTAGGAAGACAGAGTTTAATGACTTCTATTCCAATCTGCTTACGTGCACACTGCAATATAGGGTGTCTCAGGGCATGCATCTTCCCAGACCTTCTTCTCGTCCACCACCCAGGCTGACAGAAGTAGCCACCTTTCCCAAGGTCGTTTTAAAGCTGGGAGGAGGATTCCTCTTCCTGAAACCAAAACTTTCCCTTCTCTGAAGAAACAGAGCAGCAGCCTGGTCCTTGGAAGAAACAAAAATCCACCTCCTGATCTTCCACATTTCCATTCGCTACCCCACTGCCAGAAGACAAACACTCACAGTGCCTCAGGGACCACACTGTGGAACGCCTACCAAAAGCCATTTTTTCCACTTGCAGAAGCGTGCCAAACATCTCTTCTCCTTCTGCAGCGGGACAGAAAGCCAGTCCAGAGCATAACCTCACCTTGCCAGCAGTGGCTCCAGCCAGCCCTCGTGGCATTCGCAGTGGCAGTCGAGGAACGTCAGGATGTCACCTTTCGCCACAGACGCTCCCAGCAGCCGGGCTCGAACCAGCCCCTCTCGCTTATTTGCACGGATAAGACGCACCTTGCGTAAGCCAGCCACGTAGTTTTCCAAAGTCTCCTTTAAATGTTCTGTAACAAACAGAAAAAGAAAGGAATAATATAGTTCTGGAATGATTGGTTTACGCCATGCTATAGAAAACTCTTTTTTCAGCGGTGTATTACTTACAGCAGTGCCTTAAAGATATTGGTATTTTGAACTCTGATTCTGCTATACTGCCCATGTTAGGAAAGGACAAGGAAAAAGCACAGAACTTGGATGGACACAAATCATGGTTACTTTCAAGAAGCTGGATGTTCCATATTTGCCTCTGTAATTAATTCCCAAATTGTTAAGTGAGTCTCAAATGTTACGTGAAGCTTTTACCATGTAAAAGTTTTATCCTTAACACAATTCACATGTGGTGGAAAATGCCAGCATTGTTTTATGTCCCATAATTCAAATGCAAATAGATAAACATGTAGCTCCTTAATGTACCTTACACCAGGGAAACCTTGGAGCAACCAAAACTCGCTCAAATTAGGAAACCTGAAATACTCCAACCAGACTGTATTTATCTATGTATGCAAGCACTTATGCTACAACACAGCAAATGTGCTTCCCCATTCTAAAATAAATTTGGTCCAGATCTCAACATTCTCACTGGCATGCTACAAGAAAACCTGTTTTCCAATTAGGTGCCTATGTTGTACAATTTTATGGTATGTTACCCAAACAGCGTATCTTTCCCTCCTGTGACTGGTTGACCAGAAAATCCTATCAACAATCAACATTATTTAGAATTATTCTTCCTACCTTTATCACTGTAATCATCTACAAGGATAATTTCTTCCAAAAGTATATCTGGAGATGTCTCAAGAACACTATGAACAGTTCGCAGAAGCGTTGACCAAGCCTCATTATAAAAAGCTATCACAACGGAGGTTTTTGGCAGGCTGTAATAATCATACTTTTCCTCTCTGCATCTGTAAGGGAGGGGATTACATTTAGTACAAGTGCAAAAGCAATTGTTAATTTTCAGAAAACTATGCTCAAATAAGTGTTCATATGCTATTTATTAGCTGTAAACAAGAATATCTAAAGGATCTTAAAGGAAGAAGAACGTACATGGAAAAGTCATGCAAACACTTTCAGGAAGCTGGTCTTCCAGAAGTCCCATTTCCATAGCAGCATTATGACCAAAATTCTGCAACCCCAGAAAAGGTCTGTCTTTGCAGAAAATTACCCTAAGTAGAGGAACAAGCAATGGCCAAAACATGCCTCAGCTTACAGAAAGAAAATAAATAAATAAATAAATAAATAAATAAATAAATAAATAAATAAATAAAACCAAGAACAAAACCTAAGAGTGGTAAAAACAGTAGCATAAATGACTGATAACTTGTGCTTTGGAAAATGAAACAAATGCTAGACAGGAAAAATATAACTGTGAAGGAACAGCAATATATAAAGAGGAAAAAAACAGCACAAGAACTGAGACGTATGCACACTGAAGCAGAATTTTGGAAGACCACAGAACTGCCAAGATATAACAGTGAAATCAGAAAAAAAAAAAAAAAAACCAGACATAGAAATGCATGGTTTTGGATCTATGGAGAGCCAAGAAGTTTGCAAACCTTTGGATTAAGCTCCAGAATGTATTTCCTGTAAATACATATATGCACTTCCCTAAAGGAACATAAGGATGCCAAGAAACTTCCAGCTGAGCCAAATGTGCAAATTGTGAAAGATTCCCCTCATCTGAAAGAATTTTAAAACAATGACAGTATTTATTACCATTTCTCCCCTTTTCTTAGAGCATTCTGTATGAGTAGTGTTGTTAAAAACTAACAGAAATGGTTTACATATGCTTGAATTTTCTTATGGCTCCAGCTTACTGTCTGGAGTCACCAGGGCTTGTACGGGACAGAAGGACGTAATCCAGCTTCTGTAGACTAGTAGGTCACAACAGATACTAAAGCAGGTAGGACATCCCTCCTACCAAAACAGAACAGCAGTGAGCCCTCCAAAACCTGTGCTACACGGAGCTAAAGAAGGAAACCAGAACCGATCAGTAGAAAACGTGATAGCAAAATCTCTTAGGTCAATTTAGGGGAACCAAAACTCCCCAAAACATGCAGAAAATGACATTAAAAGAAAGCCACTTACCTATAGCACATTGAGAATATATTTACTGACTACTTAATGCTGCTGTGTTTGCAATAAAATAAAATTCTTATAGGTTTCTTTAAAGATTAGGCAATATCTATGAAGATCTGTGGTAAAGAAAGGAAAAAAAAGGTCTGAATCTGAATCTCCCTAAAACTGAAATTCTTACGAGGGGAAAAAAAAAAAGTCTGTAGAGTAGTTTTGTAATAAATACCTGAAAATGAGGAAGCAAGGAGGAGAAATGACACTTGGGCAGAGGAGGCACATGGCTGTTTGCTTGTCAAACATGAAAGGAATGCTGTGTGACACCACTCATTGTCTATGATGCGTATGCATGCACACACACATACAGGTATAGATAGATAGGGATGCGCACACACACACACACACACACACTTATCAAGTGAAGCACAAAAATGCCCATCCCTCCAGGATGTAACTTGTCCTGAGGCAAACAGGGGCGTTCACACAGAGCACTGTCTCACACCAATGGCTGGTGACAGAAGTGATTTATTTTGCCAAATGTTGATGCGAAAGGAGTGACATTGTAATTAACTTTAAAAAAAAAAAAAACACAGAAAAAACGACTGTATGAATCCAGTTTTATAAATACATATTTACTTTAGACTACTGAAAAACATTTACACTCAGTACTGCCAGGAGAAAGTTCTTCTTGTATATCACAGTCACTTGTACCAGGTAATTTCAGTTCATCTGTTGATGGAAATGGGATCTTTACCTACCCATTTTAGAAAACGGAAGGAAAAAAGAAAGAAATAGAAAACCTCCAGGAAAGCTTTCTCTGGAAAATATGTCAGAAAGATTCACAGAATAATGATGTTGTATTCCATTACTTAAAAAAGGATATCCAAAAAGTCTAAAGAAGCTTATAAGCCTAATTATAGATTAAAGACTTCAGTGGATTTGCCTGAAAATTACATGCTGGAGACGGGAAACACTCTTTGGCAAAGCAATTCCCAAACCGAGATTCACTGCGCATTGCTGCTTCCTTCATTGAGCAAATACCCTACACTGCAGAAAAAGGTCAGCCTCCGGCAAGATGCACCACAGTACATGTTGCTTTGGTTTCTGAAGTCAAGAAAGAGGCCACAACTAAAAAGGACATCTTATTTACGAGCTCTGTGGCGGAAGGCAGCATGCAACTGCAGTGAAGTGACTCTCCAAGGTAGCAGGGCTGGCTGCCCCGTTCCCTGGCAGCCCGCTTCCCCCTGACAGGCCAGTGGGACAAGGCTGACAACTTGCCCAAGAAGGAAACCATCTCTCACCGTGCACATTGCAATGCGGATTGAATGCACCCTCAGCAAGTTCGCTGGCAACACCAAGCTGTGTGGTGCAGTTGACACGTCGGAGCAAACAGACAGGCTAGAGAGGTGAGCCCGTGAGAACCTCATGAAGTTCAACAAGGCCAAGTGCAAGGTCCTGCACATGGGTTGGGGCAATCCCAAGCACAAATATGGGCAGGGCAGAGAATGCATTGAGAGCACATCTGAGCACAAGGACTTGGGGGTGTTGGTTGAGGAGAAGCTCAACATGAGTGAACTTGCAGCCCAGAAAGCCAACCGTATCCTGGGCTGCATGCAAAGCAGCATGGCCAGCAGGTTGAGGGAGGTGATTCTGCCCCTCTACTCTGCTCTCGTGAAACCCCACTTGGAGTACTGGATTCAGCTCTGAAGTCCCCAACACAAGAAGAACATGGAGCTGCTGGAGTAAGTCCAGAGGAGGGCCACGAAGATAACCCACAGGCTGGGGCACCTCTCCTACGAAGATAGGCTGAGAGAGTTGGGGCTGTTCAGCCTGAAGAAGAGAAGGCTCCGGGGTGATCTTATAGCAGCCTTCCAGTACCTGAAGGGGGCCTACAAGAAAGCTGGAGAGGGACTTTTTACCAGGGCGTGTAGTGATAGGACAAGGGGCAATGGCTTTAAAGTGAAAGAGGGGAGATTTTGATTAGACCTAAGGAAGAAATTCTTCACTCTGAGGGTGGTGAGGCACTGGAACAGGTTGCCCAGAGAAGCTATGGCTGACCCATCCCTGGAAATGTTCAAGGCCAGGTTGGATGAGGTTTTGGGCAACCTGGTGTAGGGTAAAGTGTCCCTGTCCATGGCAGGGGGGTTGGAACTAGATGATCTTTAAGGTCGCTTCCAACCCAAACCATTCTATGATTCTATGAAATACACAGAGCACAACTGAAAGCTTAGCTTTTTAGTACATCAAGTTTATTTTGGGGAAAACTAATCATCATGTATAGACCAACTAAAATTTTGAAACTTTTACATTTAAAAAATTAGAAAAAAACCAAAAGTTATTCAACTTCTATGCAGATTTGCTTGTTTATCTCAGAAAATATTTCCAAGACATATATTTCTTACTAGATTACTGCAAGACCTCAACTGCTAGCAGTCTCAGATACTGTCGATACAACGAAGCATAATTTTCCTATCCTTCTGTTTTGAAAGAAATTTCAAAGAGTTTTGCTCAGTCTTAAAAAATAATCCCACTGGGGAGATTACAAACCTAAAGTGTTTACACCCTGGAAAAATAACAGTGTAAGAAAATAACAGAAAAAAACCCCAATGAATCCCTGAAATGGAAGTGCTTAGAAATGTTGTTGAATAAAAATCCAGTGGCATAGATATGGACACTAAACATTACCACTTCACAAGATACAGAAGCTACAAAAAAAACTCACTACATATCTGAAACCTGACTTAAAGCCTAGTGATCATAACTCAGCTTTTCCATTTCTGAACTCCTATTGAAAGCAGAACCACTTTAGCAGTGCATCTTCTGCATTCACCTTTGCAAACTTCAGGATGGATTTTTATTCTCCGTGTGTCACCCAAATATCCAAGCTCCTACTTTCTGAGTGAATCATTTCACTCCTACTTTGGGTTATTCAGAAAAACAAATGTGTATCAGTTACAATATGTCATTAAAATGACAGGCAGGATACAAACTGGTGACAGCAATCCAAAAATATGTTTCTGCAGATACTGGGAATGTATATTTATAATGCCTATACTGCAAGCTGCTTTCAGCTTCTGACTAAGGTGCCCTTTAGTGTCATCCTCAAACGCGTAACACTGTCCTTTCCCAACACAGGGGATCACGTTAAGACAGGATTAATTATATCTCATGTTAGCCATCTAAAAGCTAGGTGCTATCTTTGAGCTAATTGTCTGGACTCTGCATGTCCATAAAGACAAACCCAGAGGCAAGTCACCTCACCCTCCATAAGACATTTGTCTAGCACAGATAAAAAGACTTCCCTCTTGTCTACAGAGGTTTAACTACAGAGCAGATGCTTAACTTTCCTACAGCTGAAGTTCCACTACAGGAAACTACCTATAGCCCCTACCATCGACTGCCTGATACATCGCCTTGAATCTAGTTATCATAACTATCAAGCGGTCGTAAAAACATAACAAAGACACGAGAAAACCAATCGCCTGTAAACATGACATTTCCATGTTCTCTGCAACCCCACTAGAAGCCACACAAGCAGAGTCTTTGTGCACAGCAGAGCTGCACCCAGAGAAAACGCGGCCGGTACTAGCCCTATAACCACGTCCCAGGGGGTGGGCTGGGACACTGCCCTGCTCCTGCATTGTCCTCCCTTTCCCTCACTCTCTGCCACACTGGCTGGATGTTCCAGGAATCCTCCTGCTTGATATCCACAGCTTAAAAAAGACAGATATAAAACTAGAAATGCCAAGAGACACAGCTTTTGTTTATCAATTTATAATAAAATAAACATCTACATTTTAAAAATTCTATCTGTATTCAGCCCCAAATCTTT